CACACACACACACACACACACACACACACACACACACACACACACACACACGTACTGTATCAGCACAGTGCTCCGCTTTTGGGTGTGTGTGCATGTGTCAGAGTAATTTCAAGCTAAAAGCATGCAACACACAACTTCTGTTACAGCACAGCTCTTCTACTTTATTCTCACAGTGACACATGGGTTGTAAACATTTCATATAAAGATTGACTGAGGTGCTAAATGAGATGTTGACATAATGTCAATCCTTGCTTTAAATGGAGCGGCCCAGACCTTTGAAAACTATTACAAATTGGGTTGGCCCTTCTATTTCCTGTCAGTGTGGACAGGAGGGATTTATGTGTGCAAACAAAAATGTTAGCAAACAGACGGGATGTTGAAGCATTAACTGAAATAACATGCAGAATTCATGTTTTCTACTCATTTTAGGACTACATGTATAAAGACAAATACTTCATGTGTACTGAATATTGATTAGCAAGTGGCATCCCGTGCCAGAACGCAGATCTAGTGTCTAACACAGACTGCTGCGTTAGCTTCGTTTTACCTACTGTGACATAATTTAATTTGAAAATACTTCAATAAATGTCTTTAAAGTAAATTACATCTCCTGTAAGCTTAGTGTGCCTTCGCCTCATTTTTGTGGCTTTTTTTAGATGGGATGCTAGTACTACTCAAAAACATCACTGTGGCTTTTGAAAATACGCTACTACAATAACCCAGAGTTAATTATCAATACATGATTGTTGTTAATACATGTAAGTTACAAGCCAATAACAAGTACCCTTAAAGGCAATCTATAATATGAGTTGCATGGTAAACAAAAAAGTTGAAGTAAAAGAAAACAAATGGAGAACATAATGAAGTGCTGAGAGTACTGTATTATAGTATAAAGCATTTCCCTTCAGCACCCCACAGTACAGTCTCTGCACCACAACCACAGTATTACTGTATATTCGGAACCCTCAGATCTGAATTAGATTTTTCCTGATGTATTACACCACAGCATCATCATCTCTGAGTTACATGTTGTTGTAACAGCTCAGCATGTTTTATACTACAGGCTGGCTTCAAATTCAGAGATGCTGTCCTCAAGTACAGCATAACACGGGGAGGAGAAGAAGGGCAGCAGCCAATTATCTCGTCACACAGCAGAGTTCCCCTTGTTGACTCTAAGGGGAGAGATAAGAAGGAAAAGAAATGATTGCAACATATCCACTTTACAGTAAAACATTTACAGTAAAATAATAGCACAAAAACTACATCCAACTTCCATGTCACAGGTCAGTAGTGTAGAGACGTACTACCTCAGACTAACCAGAGGTGGAAGGAACAGTTTATCTTTGAGAAAATGTGGTGTTTTTAAAAAATTCACCTCCCCCAAATTTCTGATTTTGCAAAAACTAGGTTTTATAACACAGGTCAGAAACAACCATGATATTTAATCAAAATACAGAAGCCTAACCCGTTGTGTTTGGATGTTCTACCACATTTCTACCATACTTGAGGTTTTGCATATACTAGCATTGGAATATTTCAATAAATTTCCCCTTGTTTGTCTCTAACAGTAGTTAGAGACAAATCAGTACTTTCTCAAAAGGACCTGGGCAGGTTTAAAAGCTAACAGCCTAGTTGATCATTCTGGGAAGGATCTGCAAGGCTGGTTCTGGAGGAGGAACTACTTCAAAAGGGTTTTGCAATCTGTTTGACTGGAATGTTCGTGAATGGAGTGAACTGGGGTGGGTTATTTTTTTTCAAACATTTCCTGTTAAGATAAGATAACTCTTTATTGTCATTGCACAGTCATACATAGTACAGTAGTACAATGAAATTGGAAAACTGTCCTATGTCGGCACTACATATAACACAACACGACACGATATGACACATCACAACGCAACACAAACAACACAACACAGTATATTAACTTAGTAATAAAAAAAGAAGAAGAAGTGTATGTGTATTGCACACTGTTATTATTGCACAAACGGTTAAACGGGAGCAGCAGAGTACTTACCACTTACTCTGCTGCTGTGTCCTGCAATTCTGTGTCCAGTCTGGTTTAGCATTAGGTTGAAAGTCAGAAAGCAAAAGTAAGTGACGGATGTTAACTGAGCAACTATACTGTCAGTAGACATGCAAAAGCTGGGGATCAGTAGCCTATATCGACACTTGCACTGACAAATGAATTGATAAAAATAAAAACAAGCACTGGTGCTCAAAGGTGAGAGTATTCAAGGTCAAAGCAATGTACTGCAATGCATGGGGTGTAACAGTTTGCCTCAACATGAGTCAATATTTCAATCATCAAAATGCTTTTTTTTTTTTTTTTAAATGTGCCTTTGTATTGGATAAGAAGACAGTCAAAGGTTAGTCTCAGCATGAGAAAATTAATGAAGGATTTTCAGGGAGAATTAGACATAACCAACTCATAGAAAGAGGCAGATTAAGTGGTTTACCTCGTGCATGCAAATTTGTTCAAACTCCTCTCCTGGTCATACCTTTGGGCAGAAAAATTTGTAAACATGCCTAAAGCACTTAAGATGACAATCTGCACTGATTGGTTTCAATTTTTAAGGAAATTCAGTGAATTTCCTGAGTAGATTTGCAAAAAACAATTTGTCTCTAAAATGCAATTACAGAAGTAAGAGTATTTGAAGACTTAGATAAATATTCAAACATAGTTGCAACTACAATAATGGTTGTAAAATGCCACATGCACCACACATTAAATATATCGTTGAGGACTTTTATTCTGCACTAGGGGTGTCAAACTCATTTCAGGCTGTGGGCCACAGAACATCCAATTTAACCTAAAGAAGTCAAAATTGCTTAATAACCAAAAAAAAAAAAACCAAACCTGTAAATTGTTTCCCTTTTTTTTTTTTTAATGAAGTTTAACTACAAATTAATTAAACCATCTAGTTTTAAAAGTGATGATTAGCAACTTGAGGTACCTGAAGAAAAAATAAGTGCAATCAGTTTTTCCAGAAAATCTGGTATACACTAGTAAATCAAAGGAACCCGTCAAAACAGCTCTCTGGTCTTACACATTAACAAACAAAGGCATGAGTACAGAAAAAAATAAATAAATCATACAATTAAAACAGAGTAATATCTTTGTTTTTAAGAAGGCTTTGAAACTTCTGATTTTTTACTGTATCCAATAGGCTGGAGTGGATTCGTTTCAAGGCCAGTTTTGGGAAAAAGTTTGATTGACTTGTTTAGAACAGGAATGCCAGAAACCAACGGGCTTTCGGTTTTCACTAGATGAAAGAAAGGTAAATTTAATTACATAGGGCTGAACACCAGTCAGGTAAGTTTAACACCCAGAAACTTCACAACAATGTATTATGTGCAAGATGTGGTTCGGTTGTGGTTTGTTTCCCCTGAAGTCCTTGGCTAAATGCCATGATCAACCATGATCAACAACCAATGGCATTTATATTAATGACAGGCTGGCTCACCTGACAATGCTGTGAGGTATATGCACATACTCCATAGGAATGATTTCTCCGAGCTCCTGCAGACTATGCACATACTTGATCTTACTGCTGAACTTGGAACTGAAGGAAATAGAAATCAAAAAGAGTTACAGTAAAAAATGGTTTTGCTAAATGCTACATGATAATCCTTTCTAATGAAGATCTCCATGACTTTGACTGCAATTAAATTATAAATGAATCTGAATGAATTTCAATAGCTGGGAGAGTCGTGCAAAATAGCAATTACAACTCTGAGACCTTATGAAGGGTCTGGTAATTCCTAGCAAAGTCCGTATGAACCAGGATGGATGAACAATGATGAACATCTTTAGGTTTTTCTTCAGTCTGCGGGACAAAACAGTCAGGAATTACACAAAAGAGGAGTACAATTGCACTGATGACTATAGCTTATCATTGATATCTAGTGATACAATGCTTTTCAGACCGGAGTCACAAAGCGCTTTAAAGAAAGTAATCTAAGATTATACAAAATACAACAAAACAAAGACAAAACAAACATTTTGAAAGAAGAAAATGGAGTACATTAGCAACAGGATTAACAGCAGGAAGATCAGACTGTTTCTTTCACATTTGCGCAGCGTTTTACATTTTTTCTTTTGCTGTTTAGAAATCATAATACACACTATCAATGAAAACTTAACATGCATATAATCTGTAATGAAATCACATGGTACATATACTACGGCATTACATTTGCAATAAACATATCTGTGTTAATATTACCTTCTGTCTATCATTTGGTAGCACCTTTTCATCCAGGTAAAACCAGGCATTCGCCTGCGAGGTGTGGCACCATTTAGATATACAATTATGTAATCCTCAGCCACCATTAATTCCAGTGTACTTATCACATATCTACAAAGAGAAGGAGAAGAAAATACAGTGGATTAGACATGTTTATTTATTTTAGACATTGTGACTGTAGCAAAGTTTTCTTTTCGTCACTTCAATGACATGTGAGAAGCTTTGGTTAAGAGATGAAACACGGGCGTGATGTACATAAAAACAGAGCTACACACAGAGAGCAGCGGCAGAAAGACACGCCAGCGTACGCTAACCCAGAAGCACGGTCATTTTTGAATGTACTTACAGAAAAAGGTTTTCCATGACATAATTGTAATTGTCACAGTTGCTCTCTGGTAGGAAACACGCAGCAAACACAATGATGGCTTTGTGTTCAGCGTAATAACCTGAAACATGAGAGACACAAACACGACTATCACGTTACATATCAATCATAATACAAATCATTTTTCTAACATTCTTGTCCGGTTTATAACTAATTCAAGGCCTATCAGTTAAAAAAGCAATTACTATTATTATTTTTGTGGTTGACACATGGGTCAATGTGAGTGGGACTTGACCCTCACTATTAAACATTCAGTCCCATCAATAAGAAAGAGTCCACTACTTAACCCCATCACATATTTATACTTCTCACACTTTATATACTTTTTCAGTCTCAGCCAAACAAGAGTTTAGTCTGACATCTGATAAACTCTGATTACACAGCAAAGTTTTTGGTAATTATCAGAAACCCCAACACACTTTTCTAAACTAGTTTTCATTCTGATTTCAGATCTGATTTTAGTTTTCTTTTCAGTTACATCAACTTTTTAATTATGTGTAATATTAGTTTGCAACAGACTTGCATGCGGTTTTTATTAAACTGCATGCACCAATCAAGTAATTGTTTCAATATTTTCAGTGCGAAGTCAGATAGACACACACTGTGGCATAGATATAATGATCCGCGTCAGTCGGCTACCACTTTTTCTTAGGTTTTTGCTGTCAACAGAAAGACTGATAAAACAACAGCACAACAGTCTTTATCAGTTTTTATCAGTTTCATAGTTTTATTAAATAAATGATATTAAAATGAAGACAGAAATTTTTTTGCCTCCACAGACAAGTAAAACTATGCATTATTAACATTATTTATTAACATCTACACCATCATAACGTCTGTTTTATTCAGCAGAAAAAGTTGTATCAAAGTACAGGGGAAACCTCAGAGAGGGCTGATATTCTC